GCGTCCCGGGTTAGATGCTCACAGGTCCAGCTCGCTCAGGGGTACCCGCTTCCGGGTGCCGTGACCACATAGCTTCACCTCCTTCATCCAGTTGTCTGGCTCCAGGGTCTGGATCCGAGCCTCCCGGCAGTGGCCCCTGGCCCCCTGGGGCAGAAACCGCCCATGGGCCCCTGACAACAACCATCACTAGCACATTCTGTAGCAGCCAACATTGTGTGCTTTTTGTCTAACATGTTAGACATGAAAATTCGCAGGCTGACCTCCCCCCGCCCACCAACAGACAAAGCTGAAATTCTAAGATGGGGTTTGTTAAAATTCTGAGTTTTAACAACCCTTCCAGGTGATTCTGATGCATGCCAAAGAGAGAACCACAGTGTCAGGCATTACATACTTTAAAATATCTCCTCTGAGGTAGGTATTATTTCTTGCCACACTTGTTATATGAGGAAATAGAGGCTTGGGGAGGTTAAATAAATGGCTCGAGATCACACAGCCAGCAAATGACAGGCCCCAAGACACGCTTCTCCTGAGTCATCCCATTTATACTCCCATCTTGTCACAGGGGACTCACCAGGCCCAATGCCAAGATACTGGCCACACTGCCAGTACTGCCAATTGTGGGTACTGAGCGCCCCCTGTGGGGAGGGAGGGAACAGTCATTCAGTGCAGAGTGATGAGAGTCAGGACCTAGCAGAGACCCCTCTCCCCAAAGGCTACAATTTCCTGGTCACTCCTCAGCCTATCCATTCCCCACCTTCAGCCCCAGGGCTCACATTCCGGGCGAAGTTGGAGACCTCATACTGGCGGAAGCCAGCTTTCCGAAGGACTGCCCGTCCTTTCTGATACATCTCAGCAGAGAGCTCAGCGTCAGGGGCAGGTAGCACCCCCTGTTGGACCTGAGTAAAGAGTGCAGTGCCCCGCTCCAGGGTCAGCTGGTAGAGGGAGATGTGGTCATCACAGTGGCGTAGCAGCTCTTGCAGCTGTCCTAGCCACGACCCCACCTGCTGTGCTGGGAGCCCTAGCATCAGGTCCACAGAGACACGCCCAGGGAAGAGGCGCCGGGCCTCCGCCAGTGTCCGCAGAGCATCGCTGGCCGAGTGTGTCCGGCCCAGCAGCTGGAGCTCAGTGTCATCCAGGGACTGGGGAGAGAGAGGGCTGGGTGTAAGCACGCAGGCCCAGCCTGAATATACACACAGTATCAAGGGACACATGGGGCAGAGCAGAGAGCCGGGAGATAATGCGAAGGTCTACCACTCACTGAAGGGCCACCAAGTGCCCAGCACTTTCATGCAGTGTCTAATGTGATGCTGGATAGCACTGGACTGAAAACCACAAGGTAGGCAGTTTAAACCAGCTGTTCCTCAGAAACCTTACACAGGGTTCCGACTTGACAGCACTTAACAACAGCAACTGAATCCGCTGAATGAGTTGCACTTTATAGATGAGAAGACAGGTTCAGAGATGTTTAGTAACTCATCGAGGCCACACAATTGCAAAGTCAGGTCTGGAATTTAGCACAGTTTTATTCTAAAGCTGGTCGTACACTAAGAGAAAAATCGGCAAAATTGAACCTATCAGCCACTCTGCACAAGAAAGATGTGACAGTCTGCTTCCATACAGATTTACACAGTGGGCAATTTCAGTCTGTCCTACAGTGTGGCAGTGAGTGAGAACTGACTCAGAGGCAACAGTTTGGTTTGGTTTTGGGGACTCTCAAAGTCAATGGTCTGTTTTCATTTAAAAATATTTCAATCTACACAAAACTTGAAAAAAAGCATTATAAACACCTTCACCTGGATTCGCCAACAGCATTTTGCCACATGCTTTCTCTCCAAAAATACGCATATATTTTTGTTATTATGTAGACTCAATTCAGAGTAAGTTCTTGGCCAGCCTGATGGGGAGGTTTATACGTGACCGTCCGACACAGTGGTCACTATCCACATGCTAGTGAACAGGGGAAATGTGGTTATTTAAATTTCATAATCACATTGTTTAGGAAGCAAAGAGTTTCTGTTTGTTGTTGTTAAGTGCCATCAAGTTGGTTAAGTGCCTCAAGTTATGACACCATAATCTTTGTGACTCACACCAAATGACTGGGTTTTGTTGTTGTGTGCCCTCAAGTTGGTTTGAATTGTCAACCTTGAGGTTATTAGCAGTTTAGTCCTTATCCTACAGTGCTACACCAGGGTTCCTTGAGTTTCTGTCTAGGTGATAGGAAATCGTGCATTGATTATGAGTAATGGATGAACAACTGATTAATATAATTGACATCACTAAGTTGTATACCTGAAAAAAAATCCAACAGACAAATGTGATGTATAAAAAAAAGGAGCAGCTGCTGATCCTGTTCATGTATAACATCATGTTCATGAAATAAATAATATGAATGAAACAAATTAAACGTTACAACATTTATATGTTGTTGTTAAGTGCCATCAAGTTGATTCCAACCCATAGCAACCCTGTATAGGGTTAACAAGGAGCAGCTGGTGAGCTTGAACCAGCAACCTTTTAGTTCAAATGACTTTGCAGTCTGACGCATTAACCCACAGCGTCACACCAGGACTCCAACATTTAAATAGTGGCTACTATATTGGAAAGGAGCTCTGGTAGCCCAGTGGTTACAAATCGGGCTGCGAACCTCAAGGTCAGCAGTTTGAAACTACCAGCCTTCCGCGGGAGAAAGATAAGGCTTTCTGCTCCCGTAAAGATTTACAGCCTCGGAAACCCTGTGCTGGGTCGCTATGAGTCGGAACCGACTCCACAGTACTTAACACAACAACTATATTGGACGTGGAGTGCTGGTGTGGCTCTGTAAGATAAATGCAGGGCAGGACTGCAAAGTGGGTTTGAATTGTAAGGTCGGTGGTTCAAACTCACTAGCTGCTCCTATGGGCTCCAGGGTCACTATGGGCACTTAACAACATATCAGACCACGTAGTTACAGATCTCATACCCTTTCAATCCTCCATACTTCGTATTTCCTAAGAACAAGAACATTCTCTCATATAAACTCAATCCAATTACAGAGGACAGGATATGTAACACTGATACAATACCATCATCTAATACGGAGTCATATTCAAATTTGACAAACTATTTCCATGTCTACTATAGTAATATCCTCCTTCCAGCCCACCCCAAGATTCAGCCAAGAGTCAAGGTGGTACAGTGAATTTACTTAGTATGATGTCATAATCTTTGTGACTGGGTTTTGTTGTTGTGTGCCCTCAAGTTAGTTCCGACACACAGCAATCCTGTGTAGGGTTTTCAAGAGTGACTGGTGGGTTTGAATGGCTAGCTTTGTGGTTACCAGTCTAGTGCTTATCCTACAGTGTCACACTAGGGTTTAATGATTAGATAGTTGTTGTTAAGTGCCATTGAGTTGGTTCCAACTCATAGTGGCCCTGTATAGGGTTTCCAAGGAACAGCTGGTGGATTTTAACCACCGATCTTGCAGTTCAAGCGACATTGCATTCCAGTGTTTTTCCGACAGCACCATACCAGGACTCCAAATAGTACAGGACCCTAATGTGAGGTTTGGTTAGTTTAGTCATCCTGTTAGCTTTAAAAGGAGCCATCTCAGAAGCAGAAACAGGACCATCAAGAAAGAAGACCCATTAGCAAAAATATGAGATCCGTACCTGGAAAAAAGCAGGACACAGAGAGACAGAGCAGCTGGGGGCAGCCCATGGACCAAGTCAAGCTGAGTGCCTATAAGCAGGAGGCTGACTTGCAGAATGTGCCCTTTGGGCTTTTACAGGCTGACTAAAGAAGCTTTGTAACAATTACCCCAGCACCGCAGAGGCTGAGGGGTCATGTGGTTTGAGAGAAGACAACAGCAAGGCATGTCTACAGTGTAACAGAGAAGAGGCATTCCTGAGTGGAGAAGTGCTGCATCCTGAGTTGTCTCTGATCCTGAATTGTACCCTGCTCACTCCCCTAATGAACCCCATAATCGGATTGTCTGTGAATTCTGTGCAACCATTGCAACGGATTACCAAACCCAGATGTGAATGAAGCAGAGTGCTGCAGGAGAGATGGCTAATTTCACAAGAGGGCAGAGAAGGTTGTAGGGTGGAGGCATGTCTGCCTTCGCCTCATAGGAATCGACCTTGAGCTGATTTTGACTCTCTTTTCCTCTTGTGAAGCCAGATGTGGCCTCCATGCCATTTTGTAGTCACTCAATGCATTCAGCTGTCATGGTCTTTTTGTTATTGTTAAGTGCCGTTGAGTCGATTCTGACTCACAGCGACCCTGTATAGGGTTTCCAAGGAGCAGCTGGTGAGCTTGAACCACTAATCTTGCAGTTCAAATGACTTTGGAGTCTGACGCATTAGTCCACAGTGCCACCCCAGGACTCCTCTAATTTAGTCTATGAGTCCTGGTGTGGTGTTATAGGATAAGCACTTGGATTGCTAATCACAAGGCTGGCGGTTCACACTTTATACAGGGTCGCTATTTATCGGAACTGCATCAACAGCACTAACAATAAATCTAGTTTAGACCCTCTGCCTTTGTCTTTCATGACACTATCATTTACATTTTGAACAGTACAGACCAATTGTGTTTTTTCTTAAACTTTTTATTGTGATTTGGGTGAAAGCTCACAGAGTAAATTGGTTTTCCATTTAACAATTCTATACCTTTTGATTCTTCCCCCTTCCTCCCTGTGTTCACCATTTCCATTTGTCCTTCTTTCCTGCCTTCCAAGCTTTATCACTGGACAAATGCTGCCCTTTTGATCTATGGGTGACTGTTCTTAAGAGTGGGTACCTCCCTGGTGTTACTATTCACCTTATAGGCCTATCTCTTGATTGGCTGAAAGTTGAGCCAAGGAGGGTGAATTCAATTCGTCTGACTGGTATCTGAGGGCGTTAGTCTCCAGGGCCAGTTGTCTCCAAATTTAGGTTTCTCCCGAAGTCTTCTCATAATTAGACTAAAAATATGCATTTTGGGCAAGAATATCTCAGAAAAGATGTATCCCTTTCAGTACATTCCATCAGGACAAAGCCCATGACCCGAAATCCTATCACTGTATGTATACTGGAAGGTAGGACAATACTGACTAGGGAATTAATAGGGGTCGACCTAGTAAGATTATGTTTCCTCCTACTTACAAGTCATCACCAGCTGTCCTATCGCCTTACGATACAACCCAAACTCCTTAGTAAATATTGTTTTGGTGGCAAAGTCCTGATGTGGTGCTAAAAGATAAGCACAAAACGCAAAGTCGGCAGTTCAAGTCCCCCTGATGCTCCATAGGAGAAAGATGAGGCTTTTTGTTTCCATAAAGATTTAAAGCCTTGGAAACCTGATACAGGGTCGGTCACTATGCGTTGGAACCGACTTGAAGGCTTCAGGCCCTATCCGGTCGCAATTACATTTTGATTTCTGACACTGGGTGCAGTCCCTCTTCCCACTTCCTCTGTGAATTTACCATTTCTATTTATCCTCTCCTATTCTTTCCTGCCTTCCAAGCTTTAGCAATGGACAAACGCTGCTCTTAAGAGTAGGAATTGCTCACAGTGTCCCAGAAATGTGCAAGGCTCTTTCATATCCTATGTCTTTTCCTGGAATGCTGTTCTCCCACACCCTCTCACCTGGTGAATTTCTTTCTCCTCCTCATTCAAAACGTCACCTCCTCCAGAAAGGCTTCCCTGATTTATACATACTCTAAAAGTACATGCTTTGTAGAAACCCTATGAGGGCAACACTCACCAGGCTACCATGATCAAACTTTGTGCCTGTCTCACCCTGCGTTTCCTCACCTTCACGTTACAAAAATCTTTTTGCGCATGTGCCACGTTGGTTCCCATGGCAATTGATGAGTAAATTCAAAGGCAACTGGTTTGGGTTTTTTTCCTCCAAATATGTGCCAGGCATTATGGTTCCTGTTGTTATTAAGTGCTGTTTACCGGGACTCATAGTAACCCTGTACATGCTTTCTGAGGCTGTAAATCTTTGCAAGAGCAGAAAGCCTCATCTTTCTTCTGTGGAGTGGCTGGTGGGTTCAAACTGTCGACCTTGTGGCTTGCAGTCCTATACTTATCCTACAGAGCCATAGAACTCCCTAGACACTATGGTGGAAGTATGAAACACAGTGATGAGTGAGGAGGTTGATGGTTTAGCAGAGCAGCAGATACGTATTTACAGAAGGGTCACCATTCACTTCTCAGTACCAACTGTTGTGTACCTCTGCACCCAGAGAACTCCATCATTGCCCAATGAATGAATTTGACTAGAGGGATGAAGACATTGCTGAAGGTCTGGGTGCACTGGGGTGGGTGAGGTGGTTACCTGGAGGCCAATGGACAGCCTGTTGACCCCTGCTTTCCCAAATGCTGCCAACCTGGAGCCTGGGGATGAAGTTGGGTTGGCCTCCAACGTGACCTCTGCATCTGAGGGCAGGTGGGCTGCCTGAGCCACTGCCTCCAGAACTGCAGCCACAGTGTGGGGACTGGCCAGGCTGGGAGTGCCCCCACCAAAGAACACAGACTCTATCCTGGGGGGTAGGGGGAGAGAATGGAGAAAATGAGACCTGGAGGAGCCCTCTTGGATGCCTGTACCTATGCTATCCACCCCCATCTCCCAAACAATTCCCAAGCCCCCAGTACCCACCGCCGCACCCCGCTGAGTTGCAGCAGTGTCCGAGCCTCAGTCACCAGACAGCTCCGGAAGGCCGCCTCCTCCACTCCGCGGGGTATGTACTTGTTGAAGTTGCAGTAACTGCAGCGCTTCTTGCAGTACGGCCACTGGGGGCAGTGTATGGAGAGGGTGAGGGCTGCCCTGGGTTCAATCGCACGTATTATATATATAACCCATTCCCATCTCGGGTCTGTCAACAGTGGCTATGACATCTGAGCTACACATTCCACAAGGCAGGTCAAACTAGAATTCTTAAAGTCCGCTTCAATATGAGATACTAGCTTCGAGGGAAATCAACTTCACGTCTCCCGACCAAGTCACCTCCCTGCCAGCGCACCAGGTCCCATCCCAGACCTCATCGGAGGCGAGAAAAGATAGCACGTGGGTTCACAGTGTGATAGGCCGCCACCTGGGTCCTGGACAGCCAGGGACGTGTCCCGCGAGCTCCGCCCCCTACACTCACGTGGACGTACAGCGCCGCGCTCTGTCTCCGAGCTTTCGGACTTGGGGGTACTGCCGCACCCTCCGCTCGGTGGCGCCTCTGGGCAGTTTTGGCCGCTGCCACCCAGTCGCGGGCCCGGACCTGGGGGAGCGTCATGGCGCTGGGTGCGGTGTTAGGCTGCTTGCTGCTTCGGGCAAAAATCCAATCCAGAGTTGCGCCCACGGCGCAAAGGCGTCCGCAGATAGACCAGGCAGGCCACCCCGAAGGAAAGGGGAAGGAGGCGGAGCTGCGTGACCGCGCGCACGCCACCACTCGCCTAAGAAAGCTTCTGGAGACCTCGGGGTAGCGTCGCCATCTACTGGCCACAGGCGTCCTCACCACAACCTCAAAGTCGTGCCTTTTAGAGCCCTGTCCTAGGTGAGTAAAGTGACCCATCCAGAAATCCTCCATTCGTTCAGTCAATTACTTCACTTTTTAAAACACCTGGTTCCAAGCTGGAGACATGTAGGTGAATAAAAACCAGGGCGCAATGAGACAGGAGAGGCAAACCAACAGCCACAACACGTAACAAATAATAGTTTAATGCCTGCTGGATACCAGCCCAGTGTGCTAAGCACTGTGAGTGTGATCTGTTACAGAGCTTGGGAATCAGTGGGCGACGAGAGGACACTTGGGCTCCATCTCGCAGGAGGAGAAGATCTCAGTGTGTATAAAGCCTGGTCAAGAGCGTGAGCTGTTATCTCCTGGGTCACAGTAACCCGGCACCTGGGGCTGTACCTGCTGGACCAAGAATTGGAGGTGGTGTTCGTGTGGGAGAGACTGGATACAAATGGAGGGCTAGGAAAGCTGACCTCTGAAGAACCATCCAATGAAGTAAAAAGATCGTGGGATTTGAAGTAAGATAACTAGGTTCTAAGCCCAGCTGTGTGACCTTGGGCAAGTCACTGAACCTCTCTGAGTTTGTTTCCTCATTTGTAAAGTGGATATGACATCATTAGATGCCATTGAGTCGGTTCCAACTCATGGTGACCTTATGTACAACAGAACAAAACACTGCTAGGACCTGCACAATTATCATGTTTGAGCCAACATTTTAGGGCTGTTGGGAAAATTTCAAGAGAAAATGTATATATATGGTAGCACCTAGCATAGTGCCTGGTACCTGGAGTTCCCTAAACACCCATCATTTCTTAAAAAATAAAGAGGTTAGTAGTCAAGTGGTAACCATTTTTCACCCCTGCCCCTGGCCTTAGTTAGAGTCCTGGTATGGCGCTGTGGGTTAATGCACCAGACTGCAAAGCCACTTGAACTGTAAGGCCGGCAGTTCAAGCTCACCAGATGCTCCTCAGAAACCCTGTACAGGGTCGCTATGGGTCGGAACCGACTCGACGGCACTTTGCAACAAGAAGCCCCTGGCCTTGACCCCCAAGACCACATTGAGTAGAAAGTGTCCATCAAAGTGGTTAGTACCATCTTTAACAAGGAATGTTATTGTTAGGTGCCGTGGAGTCAGTTCTGACTCCTAGTAACCCCATGTGCACAACTGTCTCAGATGGTTGTCTAGGCTGCAGTCTCCCTGGGGACAGACAACCAGTTGTTTCTCCTGTGGAGCCACTGGGTGGGTTAAAACCGCCAGTCGCTTAGGTAGCTGCCACGCACTTAACCATTGTGCCACCAGGGTTCCTTTGACACAGAATAGGAGATCGGGAAATGCCAATTTCCTTTCAGCCTCTTCCCTTCTCCATTCCCCAGTAGCTGCCAAAAGAGAACACCAGCAAAAGACCAGCCAAAGAAAACAGAGACGTTCTTTATGCCAAATCACAAAGACAGACAGAGACGTAGAAGGAGGGATGGGCCGGAAAGGGGTTTGGGAGGACCCCCTTCTCCACCCCATTCCTTTCTTCACAGTTTCAGATGCCGTTCCATCTCCTCTCGAAGTTTGAATTTCTGAACCTAGAGGAGAGAGGAAAGACAACCAGGTGTGGGGCCTCTGCCAGCTAGCTAGGGTGACCAGCCATCTCAATTGGTTGAAGACTGAGGGGGTTCTCAGGCTTTTAGTGCCAAACCCAGGGAAGTCCAGGGCAAACGAGCATGTGTGAATGAGCTGGCTGTCCTACAGCCAGTCTCCCCACACACTCTTGTCCATCCCTGAGGGAGTCATGAGCCTTTCTGGGTTTTTGTACCTGGGTCTCCAGGCCCCAGGCTGCCCTACCCCTCGACACTGCCTTCCACCGTACCCACCTTTCCTGAGATGGTGAGGGGGTACTTGTTGACAAACACGATGTAGCGGGGAATCTTGAAGTGGGAGATCTGCAGAGCAGAGGGAGAGGGAACAGTCATGAGGGTAGGCAGGGGTCTGGACTTGTCCTGGAGTCAGGCTTCTCCTCAGGGACCAGCCCACCCCCTTCCCTGACTGAGTGTTGAGGAGAGCTGAATGAAGAAATGAGCAGAGTCAGCAGGGTGGGGGAGAGGAAGGTGGCTGGAGGCTCCTACCTTCCCTTTGCAGAAATCCTTGATCTCCTCAGGTGTGACATTCTCCCCATTCTTCAGCCTGATGCAGGCACATACTTCCTCCCCCATCCTTGCATCTTTCACACCTACCACCTGCCAGGTCAAACACCAGACATCACCGGCTTCACCCATAGTTCCTGTTCCCCTGGGGGCTCCCCTGGGTTCCCCTGAGCTAGGCGACTTACCTGTGCCTCCTGTATCTGCGGATGTTTGTGAAAGAAGTCCTCGAGCTCCGCAGGGTAGATGTTCTCCCCGCCCCGGATGATCATGTCCTTGGAGCGGCCCACAATCTTACAGAAGCCTTCCTCGTCCATCATGGCGATGTCTCTGCAAGGAAAGCTCAGGTGTGGCCTCAGTGCACGTGTGCTCTCGCTTGTTAAGCAAACGCAGTGCTCTAGGCTTAGGGGGATGCAGCATGGACAAGACATCTGCCCTTGGACTTAGAGTCTAGTGGAGGAGGCAGACAAAACTAATAAACCAAGATCTCTAACACAGTGCTTCTCTCTCTGTAAATATATATAATTTTTCATGGCTGGCTTTTTTTCTTTCTGTATCATTCAAGTCTTAAATCAAATGTTTCCTCCTTCAAGAAATCTTCTCTGAGCACCCAATCCAAAGAACGCCCCCTTCTCACCACAGCCCTCCTTTCCTATGGCCCTATTTTATTTTGTCCTGGTGTCTGTCAGCTTTGGAAATGATCTTGTTTGTAATCTGTTATCTTCCACCAGACATGGGAAGAGACAGTCACCTTGCTGTTGGCTAGACTAGCAGTGTCTAGAATCACGCAGACAAATAACAAAACAAAACAACAACAACAACAACAAAACCCAGTAGACGTTGAGTTGGTTCTGACTCATGGTGACCTTATAGGTTGCAGAGGAGAACTGTATTCCACAGGGTTCTTAAAGCTGTGACCTTTCAGAAACATGTCACCATACCTTTCTTCTGAGGGATCTGTGGGTGGGTTTGAACCACCAACCTTTTGGTCACAGTCAAGCGCTTGACCATTTGCACTACCCCGGGGCTCTACTGGCACACAGTAGGTGCATAATGAATGACTTAAGTCTTGACTGGCACAGTGCATTGTCCTACTTCTCGGTCCTCCCAGTGGGCTCTCACATGACTCTGTTTTGCAGATTTTGGAAATGAAGTCTCCAAGACATAAAGGGCCCATCTTGACACACATGTTCCCCTTGTCCTCGTTTAATATTCCCAACGCAGCCACAAGGCCCTCAGCCTCCCCTGACCAGCTAGCCCTCCAGCCCACCCTGCCCTCTCACCCTGTCCGGTACCACCTATCCTGCCTGACTGCTTCCTCTGTCTTCTGGGGCTCGTCCCAGTAGCCCAGCATGACGCAGTAGCCTCGGATCCACAGCTCCCCAGGTTGGTTCAGTTCTACCAGTGCGCTGGTCTCCATGTTCACAATCTGGGCCTGGGACAGGGTGGCTTCAGGTGGGGGCTTCCCATCCCCTCACTTTGGGATGGAGGGCCCTTGGGGAAAGGATGCTTGGCCTTTCCTCTCCTTCCAGAGAAAAGGAAGAGAGAGAAAGGCCAGAAGAGTCCTGAGCCCAACATGAAGCAACATTTGAGCCCAGGTTAGGGATTCCGAGGAGACAGAGGGGGAGGGCCAGGCCAGATGAGGGTTTCTAAACTAGAATACAAAGAAGCAAGTCTCCTCTGACTTCCCTTAGTAAGGAAGCCAGAGCAGGGGCATGACAGCAGCAAGACAGAGTCTGAAAGTCTAGCAGAGAAAAGGGCTGCAGCTAACAGGCCAAGGGAAGCTTAGCCTCGGTGTGCCTCAGTCTGCATCTGTGAAAGGGAGAGAACTGCTCTTGTCCCTGCCTTCCTTACCGGTGATCCCCGGGAGTGGCAGGGACGGTAAACAGATTCTAGGGGGCTAATATCACTGGCATGGCACTGTGGGTTAATGTGCAAAGTTGGTTTGATCTGCAAGGTCCAGCGGTTCAAGCTTACCAACTGCTCCTTGGAAACCCTATACAGGGTTTGCTATGGATCGGAAACGACTCAATGGCACCTAACAACAATGTCACTGCACACTCACTCCTCACAGGACTGGGCAGGGGAGATTCACACCAGAATAGTGGTTCATCCCAGGGGAATTTAGGCACACTGGCGACCCTATGGGGCAAGGTGAAGAGGGCAGGGGAACCAGGTGTGAACTGATTACCAGTGTTGGAGCAGGAAAGAAGTCACAACTGTGAACTTGAGGCTGAGGGACGCTCTGGGTCAGCCTTTGAGGAGCAATAGACCTCCAAAGAGACAGGCTGCTTGAGGAATGAAGATTTACACTAAGCCAAAGGGGCTCTCTGCCCAAGTGAAGAGAGACTATAAGGGAGACAGCTGGGTCGGAAAAATCTCTGCACTCTTGCTACTCTGTGCCCAGGACAGACAGCGGGCCTTGGCAAAAACACATCCCAGACAGGAAGAGAGGCTGAGAAGGAAGGTAGCTGGCAGTGGCTCCGGGTCACTGCTCCAACTCTCTCCCTATCTTACGCCTCAGCCCGCAGAGAAGGCAAAGACCCTACATCTCGAGTGAGCTGTATGGATCTCAAATTAAAAGCCATAAGGTCCTGGGGAGGGAGGGGGGGGCGTGCCCTAGTTGAGTGGTGTCAGGTGGAGGGAGGTTGCCCTGGTCTGGGGCTGACCTCACAGTGGCTCACCTCTGTGTGAGGCATGATTCTGCCCACACTTTCTGCCTTCTGCTCCACCGTGTCTTGCGGGAAGTTCATGAAGGTCACGGGGCTGTTCTCTGTGGTTCCATAAGCAACCTGAAGGATCGGGCAGGGTGTTTGAAGGGAGCTCAGGACTCCTGGTGTAGCACGGTAGGACCCTCACTGGACTGCTAACCACAAGGTTTGTGGTTCACACCCACCAGTCACTCCTCAGAACCCTATACAGGGTCACTATGAGTCAGAACTGATTCAATGACAATAACAACAGTGACTGCACAGCGATTGGATGCCTGGGGGGTGGGGTGGGGGGACGGACAGGGAGGAACTTAGAAAAGATAAGGGAATAGTGGAGATATTAATAGTGGCAAAGATCAGGGGTCAGGAGGCAGAAGTGCTGGGTCAATGCACAGATCCCATCAGGGACCCCCAGATCTGAAATAAAACTGAGAGCAGGGAAGCTATTCTCTCCCGGTAGGGCTCTCTCTCTCTCAGCCCCGCTGTTTCCCTACAGTAGCCCCTCACTATGGCTCCCAGCATCACTAATACCCTAACTTCTCCCCAATTCCCAAACCCGGGCAGCCTTAGTCCTCCTTCACGACTTCAGGCCTCAGCGTCCCTGCTCCTCCCTCCCTCCCAAGCCCAAGGTCCCATAAACTTGATGAGAAAGCCAGACTGGGAGCAGCACAGACAACCCCCCACCCCCACCCCGTCCTTAAACCTGGGACAAATGCCTGGCCTTGGGGTGGTGTCCTCTCCTCCATAGTTTTGGAGGCTTTCCTATGAATTCATTCCCATCAAAATAAAAATGCAGCCAAAGCAGGGATTTAAGAAGCTGGCGTCACCCCCTCCTGCCCCACACATACACACACTTCCCACATACACACTTCTAGTGGTTGGAACATCCTGAGCAACAGAAAAACCAGAAGTCTACCTTGGAGGAGCGCAAATACCATCAGGGAATGTTCTGAGCCAAGAATGACCCTCATGGAGAGGCAAGGAGTGAAAGGGGCTCAGGAGAGCAGCAGCCGTGGGAGTGGGTCTCTGCATCTGGGCAGTGGGTGAGGGGAAAGGGACCAGCTGCCCTGTAGTGTAGGGCCTTCCTCCTCTTCCCTCCAGCAAAGACACCAGACGTTTTGTCTGATCCACACACACACAACTTCCCCTGTGTCAGCTGGCATGGTGACATGGTGTGGTCACAGTTGGGGTCTGGCTCAGCTTTGGAGTCTTAGGCACCTATCTCCCCCCCACACACACACACAATGCCCCCTGCCAGGCAGCCCAGAATGGCTGGGGGTATAGAGCTGTGATCCTGCCTGTCTGCTCTTCCCTTTCCACAGGAATCTCAACACCAGGCACACTGACCAGGTCGGCTGGGGCAAGCTGCCCAGAACCTAAGGTCTGGCGACCAGAGCCAGACAGTGCTGGTCCCGGGTAGTCAGGACCCCACCCATTAGTTCACTCACCCTCAGTGTCCTGAGGCCACTGCCCGGGTGTGCCCTCTACTGAGTACACCTCGGCGCCTCTCGGACCGCCACCCTGAGAGACCCCTTAGGGGTGGGTCTGACCACTGGGGGTGGGCAGGAGGGACAGGGATATTTTGGGGAGACGAAAGGGAGTCCTGGTGTGGCACTATAGGATAAGCACTGAAATACCAGTCACAAGGACCGCAGTTCATACCAGCACTCCTCGGAAACCCTATACAAAGTTGTTATGAATCTGAACTAACTTAACGACAACAGGGATGGTGCGATTGTGCACGTTTGGTTGCCCTAACTCAGGTTTGTGGTCTCTGGTATGTTTATAAACGATGAGGGTCATTCCCTCATACTTTTCTGGTTAGCCTTCAGCCTTAGCTAAACAAGGATGGGGGTCTAGTCAGGAGACAGCAGAAACTTAAGCCCACCGCTGGCCAGGGGCAGGAAGACACTCCCACCTCCTCAGGGTTGGCTCCAGAGCGCCTGGCCAGAGACTGCAGCCCGCTGCCAGAGGGGCCCTCATTCTCAGCCGACACTACACAAGAGCCCCATTAAAGCCCCATGGCTGGCCGGACTGTGGCGGGACTCGTGTCCGGCTCCCACTTCCTCCCTCCCTAGGCCAGGGCATCTGGCCGAGAAGGTATGGGGGTGGGGCGTGGAGGCTCAAAGTTGAGCAAACAAATAAATTCAGACTCAGGGACTGCCTCCCTCCCTCCTTCCCTCAGATGTAAACTCAGACCTCTAGACACACCCGTATCTACTTGGCAGTCCCCTCTGCAAAAATTTTAAAAAGTATAGGGAATGGAGGTAGGGAAGAGAAGCAGAATCTGAGAGCAAAGTGGAGAGGGATGGGGTTCAAGGAACCAGATTCTAGGGCCACGATCCCAGCATTCTAGGGCCACGCCCCCTCCCATCGAGGATGAGCTTGCATCTCCGGGCTGGAGGGGGTTAAGCCCGGTGGCCCAATGCTCCACGTAGGAGCTGGCTCGGGCTGCCCGCTGCGGTCAGGGCCTCAGTATAAGTAGGGCTGGAGACCGAGGACTTGCTGCTGCCCACGCCTGGCCACCATCGCCACTGCTGCCCCAGCCCCAGTACCAGGCTCCCAGCCATGGCCCACCCGGTGCTTTTGCTCAGCCTGGGTCTCTTGGCCTGCCTGCTGCCGGCGCTGGCCGCCTGCCCTCAGAACTGTCACTGCCATGGTGACCTGCAGCATGTTATCTGTGACAAAGTGGGGCTTCAGAAGATTCCTAAGGTGTCCGAGAAGACCAAGCTGCTGAACCTACAGCGCAACAACTTCCCAGTGCTGGCTGCCAATTCGTTCCGTGCCATGCCGAACCTCGTGTCGCTGCACCTGCAGCACTGCCAAATCCGAGAGGTGGCGGCTGGTGCCTTCAGAGGCCTCAAGCAGCTCATCTACCTGTACCTGTCCCACAACGACATCCGAGTGCTGCGTGTTGGTGCCTTCGATGACCTGACCGAGCTCACCTACCTCTATCTGGACCACAACAAGGTGACTGAGCTACCCCGGGGGCTGCTCTCCCCGCTCGTCAACCTCTTCATCCTGCAACTCAACAACAACAAGATCCGAGAGCTGCGTGCAGGTGCCTTCCAGGGCGCCAAGGACCTGCGCTGGCTCTACCTGTCTGAAAATGCACTCAGCTCCCTGCAGCCCGGTGCGCTGGATGATGTGGAGAACCTTGCCAAGTTCCACCTGGATGGGAACCAGCTGTCCAGCTACCCCTCTGCTGCTCTGAGCAAGCTTCGGGTGGTGGAAGAGCTAAAGCTGTCCCACAACCCCCTGAAGAGCATCCCTGACAATGCCTTCCAGTCCTTCGGCAGATATCTGGAGACCCTCTGGTTAGACAACACCAACCTGGAGAAGGTGAGATCCTGGCTGCAGCATTCTGCTCACTCCTTCTTTCCTTCCTGGAGGCTCAGGGAGTCAAGGCCATCACCCCCTTTCTCCCAGTTCCCCTCTGCCTCTCTGGTCATCTCTAAAGGTGAGTCGAGTCTCCTTAGGCCAGGAGTTCTGCCACCTCTGTCCCTTATCTTGTTGTACTCTACTAATGTCAGCCCAGCCACCCTGTCCCTAGTCTCAGTCACTACCCTCCTAGCATTATATACAAAGAACTGGGGGTGACCCTGGCTCCACAAATGCCCCCCCAGGAGACATCTAAAGTGCCCCCACGTTCCCCACTGTGGGCAGTAGCCACTTCTTCCTGATCGGCCTTCTGCTCCTCCCTGCTGTGGCCCCCCTTCCTCATCTCCACTAGACTTACCACCCCATAAAGGAAGTTTTGTTTATTGAGCAGCCTTCCAGAGGCGCTGGGCGAATCAGGCCCACAAAGAGACCCTGTTCCTGGTGGGGGCTGTGCATGCATGCTCAGGTGGGGTGGGTAGCTGAGGGAATGTGGGGGAGCAGGTACCTGAGAAAGATGCCCCTCCACACCTCTCAGAGACCCTGGCGAACCCCCTGTCCCACCCTCCACCCAGCTCCACTGCATTCCTCAGGACCCTTTGAATAGAGTAGCAAAGTCAGGACCTGGGAACTAGGGACTTGTCCAGGCTGTAGGCTTTGTGCCTATGCACTCTCTGAAGGGGCAAAGGCAAGAGCTGAAGACCATTGTCAACCTTGGCACAGGACCCCAAGTGTCTCCCTAGATAAGACCAGCTGGACCTCACTTTCCCCTAGACTGTCCTTTGTCCACCTTGGTCACCAGGCATCTTCTGGCTGCATCCTCAGTCCTCCCTCCGCTGGGATATCCAGCACCTGGCCAGGTGGGTCTACCTTGGGGAGAGGCAAACTCTCCTTGGAATGGAAAATGGCCCTGGTATCAGGGCCTTGGTCCAAGAGGTCTGGTGGGAGGCAGGGCAAGGTGGAAGAGGCAGTCTCCAGGCCAGTCTGGTCACCATGGAACAGCCTACTCCAACCTGAGCACAGGGCGCAGAACAGAGGTGGAGGGCAGTAGCCAACCTTCGTCTGGGTGGAGGAGCCTTCCTGTGCTCACCCTTCTCCAGTCCTGCCCCCTCCACCTCTGAAGTCAGTCTCTGGTGTCCCATTAGACCAGAGTGGCCTTTCAGAGAGCAGCTGATTTGGGGCGGGGGAGGCCAAGTAGCAATGGTGGCGCTGGGGCCAAGATGTGGACACCAATAGAACATTTCCTCTAGAGCCGTCCAAGCTGACCAAGTCTCCACCAAGGTAGCTCTACAAATAACGGCTGGCAGGCAGTGAGGGAGCCCTGAGGACAGAGCTGGGGGAAGTCCCAAGACCCTGGAGCCTGGGCCCACTGCCCACTCCACCAAACACTAACCAGGTTCTCCATGTGCCAACTTGGACTGCTGGGTCCAAGTCCTGGCTGCCTTCCCAGTCCCTGTGTTTGTGCAGGGAATGTGGTGCTGAGGGTAGAACACTGGGGGTTTACTGCAGCTGGCGTGACCTGACGCCAGGGAATCACTTCTTAGCACCTCCAGTTTGCCATCTGCATACTGGAAGTCTCAAAGGGTCAAGTCCCTGAGTAGTGGCAAACGGTTACAGCATCTGGCTGCCAGCCAAAAGGTTGGAAGTTTGAGTCCACCCAGAGGCACCTGGCAATCTACTGCCATTGCAAACCCTATGGAGCATGGGTCTACTCTGACACACTGAATGAGAGCTGATTCAACAGGCAACTGTTTTTATCTCAACAGTGCTTGTGTGAACTAACTTGCCTGTGACAGCTGCTTTGAAAACTATGATGCTCGCCAAAGAGAAGGCCCCCACCCCTCTGAGGTTGGAGACCAGGCCTAGGGGCTCACTCATGTCCATCTTCCTCCCCAGTTTTCAGATGACGCCTTCCTGGGTGTGACCACATTGAAACACGTCCATCTGGAGAACAACCGCCTCAGCCAGCTCCCCTCCAGCTTCCCTTTTGATGGCCTGGAGACCCTCACGCTCACTAACAACCCTTGGAAGTGTACTTGCCAGCTCCAGAGACTTCGGCGGTAAGAACCCCCAGCCCCATCCAGCCCCATCTCCATGGGATGGAGTGAAGACGAGCGGCCCTGCACTAAGACAACCTTCACATACCTCCAACACCTACTACCTAGTAGGGGCGGGAGCCTGTTTCCCAGTTTGTAAAATGAAGATGACAGTTCCAGACTATCCAAGTCAGTCCTGCTTCACAGCTCACTGTCCTAGCACTCCCATAGCTCTTCTCCAGTCCCAACAATACTCTTGTCTCTCCAGGTGGCTGGAAGCCAAGGCCTCCCGCCCAGATGCCACCTGCAGCTCACCCTCCAAGTTCAGGGGTCAGCGCATCCGGGACACGGCCGCCTTCCGCAGCTGCAAGTTCCCCACCAAGAGGTCCAAGAAAGCCAGCCGCCATTAAACAGGTGGGCAGTGCCTCACTCCCGACTCTGGAGACTACATGGAGTGAGGAGGGTATCCCAGGATACTCCTCCCCCAGGCCCTGCATTTCTGCAAGGAGAGGAGGGGAGGGCGGGACTTCGCCCAGCATGCCCACCATCCTCTCCAGCCTGGCTCCCATCTGGGCGGTGGAGTCCTGACCCCAGTCCTTTCCTCACTGCAGGTCCGGGCCCAGCCAGTCCTAGGGACTGGCATCGGTCTTCTGCCAGAGAGACTACTCACCTTCCCACCCTGACTTCACCTTCTCCCCACAGCCTCTGCCCGTGCAAAGAGCTGCCCACGTCTAGAAGTCCCGGCAGGGAGGCCTTGGGCACTCCAGCACACCCCCAGCTCCCCCAGACAGTGGCCAGGAGAGGACACAGTAGCCTTTCCATCATCACAGCACCTCCCTGAGACGCTGTCACCGAGCTCCCCAAGTCCCTGAGAACCAGACGCAGTGGACATCAAATGGCCACCCCACCAGAACTGCCCTTCCCTTTGCTCTCCCATCTCTGTGCTGTTTGAAAACCAACATTATTAGATCCTTACTTCCAAACAAGAGTTGTAAGCCCCAACCCTGACTCCACCAGTCCCCCCAGCCTGCCAGGACACCCCAGCAGGTCTCCTGTGCCTTGCCAAATACCCTCCCAAGCTGCATTTCTTCCCCAGATTTCTAGAAACATAAATCTAAGTGTGTGTAATTACTCCCTTGTCACCTCTGTGACGCGCCAGCTGCGGCTGAGATCAGGCAGTGTTTTTCATGTTTGCTTTCCACCATGAGGGATGGGTGAGAGGTTACAGCAGGTTCCTGGACTCTGTCAGAGATCTGGCCTGCACTCTTCCCTTTCCTGTCAGCCTGCTCTCACCCCAGGCAAGGCCTGACCTGCCCCTACTCACCACCAGCTCCTTCATATTCAACTTGCTAATGATGACTCGGATCAGCTCTGGAGGTGCGAGGGATCCAGCAATCACACCTGAATCAGAGAGAGGACTGAACCGATCCCCAATTCTCCAGAGCCCTTCCTCTCCTGGGAAGAGCATGCCCTTCTAGCCCTGTGCCCTGGACCTGGACCTATACAGGGCAGCTAGCCTTGGTCTGGTCTCTAGGGACACTGGGGATTTGCTCCCCTCCCACCCACATCCCTTTGTATCTCCTAAATCAAAGACTGGGAGCAGAGCTAATTCACCCAGACCAGAGTTGACTCGGCAGCCCCCTCCCTCCTCTCTTTTGGCCACCCTTGGCCTCACCTCACCTCCACACAAGGATGAGATGTCGTAACTGGAGAAGTTTGGCTGGTTCAGAACATCTACAAACATGGTGGGAGTACCATATAGGAAAGAACCTCTGTAGAGGGGTGGGGGAAGAACGGGCATCTGGAAATTAGCTTGAAAAGGAGAGGGATTTCCTTCCCACCCTCTCGACCCTGAACCTGCAGCAAGGGCAAAGGCAGGAGGCAGGAACTGACCATTTTCTGGGGTTCCCCAACTACCCCTGTCCCCATCCCTCTTCAATGGAGAAAGAAGACATCTTATAAAGGGTCCAGGGTCTGGGAGTGAGGACTAGGGAGGGGTAGCCTGCTCACTAAAGCTCACCTCTCTTTGCTAATAGTCTCCAGCGCCATCTTGCCATCGAAGCTCGGAGAGGACAGGATGAGGGTGGCCCCGTGCATCACGCTCACCATTGTCCCCCCCACAGAGCCCAGGCAGTGGTACAGGGGGCTGGGCAGGACCACCCGAAGCTTCTCTGGTGTCTGGAGATGGCAGCGGGGGGCTGGGTCTGTTTCAGAGTCAGACCCCCCAGAGCAGTTCCTCCAGCCAGCAGAGGGAGCCCACCAAGCCCCACAACTCCTGGGGTGCCAGCCAGCCCTGCCCTGGGGTTCCCCAGTACCCCTCACCTTCAGGTGCATTTTCAGGCGCTCCCCAATCATGTTGGAGTTGTTGACAATGTTGTAGTGGGAGAGGGTAGCACCCTTGGGATGGCCTGTTGTCCCCTGGCAAGACAAGCAGGTGTCAGCCTGGCACCCTCCTCCCAACCCTGGGCCACTGTGTAGTGGACTAGGAGTCAGGTGATTGGATTCTTGACCCCAATCCATCATTTGTTCATTTAGTGTGTACCTGCACTATGCTAGGTGGTACAAATGCATAAGGTGTGGGCTCATGAGGTGGTTCAGAAGACTGTACCTCCCACTAGCTGCATGTCTCAGTGTCCCCATCCGCTAAATGAGAGGCAGGCTCTACCAGCTCTGATCTGTGGTGACTCAAGAGCTGGGGGAGAGGACATGTGATGAGGACACAGGTTGCTGATGTCTCTCAGAGCAAAGAGAACAGCCAGGCCAGGACACCGCGACCTTGACGCCCGGAACTGGCCTCAGGAGAGTGTCTGCCCTCCTAACCTCTGCCACCTCCTTATTCCCGGGGAAGGATCACTGGGCCAGAGGTTTGTGTGCAGTCTGGGCTTGGGATCTGGTGGCCTCTGCCCTACCGAAGTGAACTGGATGTTGATGGGGTCATGGCAGGACAGGAACTGCTGGGTATAACGGAGTCGAGCCATGTGCTGCTCCGAGCTGCCTGCCGCTACCACCTCCTTCAGGAGCAGGGTCCCCGGCAGAGGGTCATCCACTGAGATGAGTGTGGTCAGCTCTGGGAGTCTGGACATGGGGAGGGTTGGGAGTTAGGGAGGCTGCACCCTGGCCTCTCCCCTGCCTCACCCTGGGACATACCCACCTCTGACTCTTCAAGGCCCCCACCTGGGCCCCCTCCAGCTCTGGACAGATCTGCTTCAGGATGTCATAGTATTTCTGGGTCTTAAATTGCTTGGGGAACACGAGGGCTTTGCAGCCTACCTGTGAAAAGAGTCACCTCTCTGTGGTCATCAGGAAGTCTGGGCTGGGAACTACAGGGACCCCACTAATGAGTTGTTCTCTCATTCCCATTCAAGTTGATCCCCACTTGCACACCTACTGACACACACACACCTTCAACCCCCCTCCACACACACACACACAACACACACACACACACACCCTGGGACATCCACAAATACCAACTTGCACACACCTCCCCCAACACATACATGTGCACTACACTCCAAGACAAATACACATACATACATGCCGCCCACGAGACACACACACACGCCCCCAACTCACAGAAAAGCTGCCCTGCCATGCGCACCAGCCTGTGTCTGAGCTGCCACTCTCCCCATGGAGGCGACACCTCCTTCTACACACAGTCTCAGGGAGGACAGATTCTGAGCATCATGACCTCCCCAGGAAGGGGTCCTACCTTTTTGAGGGCATACTCCAGTTCCAATGCCTGGTAGGCTGGGTTCACAGACACCTGGAAGGGACAGTGAGGGCATGTCAAATGTCCTGGACAGACTTTGTCCCCTGCACCTGCAGGAGGCACAGAAACACCAGGTGGGCAGAGGAGCACCCTGTACCCGGGGACGTCCCCTGGACAGGCCTCAGGAGAAAGCACCATCTGGGCTGAGATCAGTCAGCATTGGTTTGGTTCTGAGGCCAATGATGTTCCCCTTCCCCATACCCATCTGGGTCAGGCCAGCCCCTCCTCACCAGAATGATGCCCGCCTGAGCGGTGGCCAGCTGCATGAGCACCCAAGCGTATGAGTTAGGTCCCCACATGCCCAGTCGGTCACCCTTGCTGAGGCCGAGGCTCAGGAGTCCTGAAGCAGCCTTGTCCACCTGGTGTAACCGGACAGGGCACAAGCACAAATGAGAGGGATGCAGCAGGAAGGGACCCATACTCCCACCTTCAGTCCTTAGCCCAGGGGCTCACATCAGGGAACAAGGGGGCCAGCAGATTCCCAGGCCTCAGTGGGTCTTCAGTGGAGACTGGGAATATGCATATTTCACAAGGGCCCCATGGGATCCAAATTTAGGCGGCACTGGGGCCTCCTCTGCCTGAGGCCTGGCCCTTTCTTCTGTCTTCCCTTGGAGTTCTCAGGTAGTCCCAACAAACTGCCCCATAGCCAAGTTCCCTCTCTCTCTCTCTTGTCCTCCCATCCTAGAGATACAGCAGCTTGGCCACTTTAAGGGTTCAAGGTTAGGACCCACCTCTTCCTTGAGCTGGGCAAATGTCAGTCTGATGTTCTCCTGGACGACAACCAAGGCCTCCCGGTCTGGTAACCTCTGGGCTGTGGTGTCAAGGCACCATCCCACAGTCTTGCTGACAAGACGCATTCTGGTGCGGCCCTGAACGTAGCTGAGGCCTCCAATGGGCAGGGGGGTGGCCTGATCTACATCTCCAGAACTGCGAAGAAAAGGAGCATGGTCTTGAGCACACTAGGCTGGACCCCCCTGGCTGGTAGGTGGGCTGCTGACAATGCCTTGGGAACCATTTGAATGTTGTCAAATCTTCCTGTGAAACAAGGATAAGGATAGCCCTTGGTTCTTTCTAACCACAGGCCAAAGCTGCAGTGTAAGGACAAGGTTGCCCCACGCTGGGGACAAGGGGCCCTCCCTCACCTGTCAGGAAAACTGCCCCAGGGAAACCCAGGAGAGCCCACCTAGGCATGTAGGATCTCACAAAGCATGACTCTACCCACACCTCCATCTCCTGCTCATTGAGGTTCTTCCTAAGGAAGCAATGAAGCCCTAGCTTCCTGAACTCTTTGGGGGACCAGTCTCTCTCTTTACAGCTTAAAGGTCAAAGATAGAATCAGAGAAGGATTCTAGAGGGCAGGTGGAGGTTCTTCATTTTAACATGCTCACCATGTGCCAAGCTGGACACCTCTGGATAAAAAAAAGAATTCCTCTGCCCCTAATTCTTCAAATGGTCCCCAGGCTTGGGCCGCTTGCTCTTGGATGATGTCATACATAAGACGATGGTTTAAAGCAGCCAGCTAAGACAGGGATGGGGAGGCAGATGCCAGCTAAACCAGGGACACACAGAGCTGCTTGAGTTCCAGGCTGGACTCAGGGCTCCCTGACCCCATTGAACACTCCTTGCTGAGGAGCCCATGTGCCAGCATTCCTCAGCTCTCACCCTTCTCAGGGCACAGGTTGGTGAGGACAGGTCTGGACAAAAGCCTGGGCAGTACAGAAGCAATCTGATCTCTGGTCACCTTTATCATCTTTTCAGGAACTTCAGTCCTATTAGATCAGAGTGACCCCCAGACCTCTGTCTTTTAATTCCTGCTCCAGGGAGCTCTTCCTCACCACTCATTAACTGTGGGACTCTGGGAAAGTTACCAAGAGCCTTTGTTTACTCTTCTGCAAAATGGAGATAAATAGACCTATTTGGCCCATTCAGTGGATGAGCATGAGGTACAAATGAGTGCAAACTACAAGGCACTTTGGAAGTGACGAAGCGCCACTGTGCAACCGACAAGCATTTACCATCTACACATGCGTCTACTGACCCTTCATTCACTGCTGTTGTTGGTACGTGCTGTCAAGTCGGTTCTGACTTATCTGGAGCAGCTGGTGGGTTTGTGCTGTCCACCTTGTGGTTCTCAGTTCAGTGATGATCCTACAACACCACACCGGGACTCCTCTTAGATACACACTAATTGAGCATCCAGACATGCTAACAATGGACAGCAAACAAACCACAGAGCTTCCCTTCAGGAGCTTTCCCGGTCCTGGTGTGGTGATGCTGGATAAGCACTGGATTGCTTATCCAACATCACTTAACAACACTCAGCTAGCTCCTTCTGTATAGGCTTGTTGTTGGGTGCCAGGAGTTTATTCAACTCACAGTGACCCTCTAATAGGGCAGAGCAGAAGTCCCCCCCACAGGGTTTCCTAGACTGTAATCTTTACAGCGGCAGATCACCAGGTTTTTTCCTCGCATACAGCAGCTGGTAGGTTAGAACCACTAACCGCTTAACCACGGCACCACCAGCGTTCCTTCAGAGTTCTTTCTATCTTACCCACTGCTGTCGAGTTTATTTAAACGCATAGAGTAGAACTCCCTATAGGGTTTCCAAGGCTGTAAATCTTTACGGAAGCTGACTAACACACCTTTCTCTCTTAGTCAAACCAAAACCAAGCCCCCCCACTGCCATCGACTTGATTACAATTCATGTTGTTGTGAGGTACCAGCGAGTCGAGTCCTGCTCAGTGATTCACAACAGAACGAAACACTGTCCTGTCCTGCACCATTCTTACATTGTTGTTACATTTGCGCTCACTGCTGATGCCACTGTGCCAATCCATCTCACTGGGGGTCTTCCTCTTTTTTGCTGACCCTCTACTTTACCAAGCATGATGTCCTTTTCTGACTCATGTTGTTGTTGTTAAATGTCGTCGAATTCTGACTCATAGCAATCCTGTATAGGGTTTCTGAAAGCTTCATCTTTTTCCCACAAAGTGGCTAATGGCTCGAGCCACTGACTTTATGGTTCACAGTCCAGTGCTTATTATATGTGCTCCCTTCCTAATAGCAACCCTATATGGGGTTTCCAAGACTGTAAATACTTAAAGGGAACAGACGTTTTCATCTTTCTCCTATGGAACCATTGAATTTGAACCACCAACCTTGTAGCTAGCAATCAATCCAGTGCTTATCCTACAGTGCCACTGGGGCTCCTTCTTTCATAATCTGGGTCCTGTAAAGGGGAACCTAAAACATCCTGGGAGCACGAGGAAAGCTTCCTTGAGGAAGTTATGCTCAGAACTGAGCTCAAAACTGAAAGTTGAGCAAATACTAACTAGCAAAAAGGGGAGAGAGACCATTTCCAGCAGAAGGCAGCACAGCCTTTGAGGAATTAGAAGTGGCCAGGTGGTGCAGTGGGTTAAGTGTTGGGCTGCTAACCTAAAGGTCAGAGAGGTTCAAACACACCAGTTGCAGCAAAGGAGAAAGATGAGGCAGATTGCTTCAGTAAGACTCATTCCCAGCCTCAGAAATCCTGTGGCGCAGTTCTACCCTGCCCTCCAGGGTCACTGTAAGACAGGTCAGTAGTCAGTGGCTGGAGCACAGAACACGGAACAGTGAGTGCTATGCGGTGGGCAGGGGCCAGTCTGCACAGACCTTTATCCCAGGAAGAAAGGACCTGGGTGGGAGGGGTGACTGCAAAGTGAACCGGCTGAGACCACGGGGTCCAGTGTAGCTGCTGACCTTGCAGCGGGGCCCCAGCTCAGGACACGCTACGCCAGAAAGGCTCCGTCTTCCCCTGACCTAACAGGATAAGGCAGGCCCCGAAACTCCAGGTCCAGGATCGGGTGGCCCAAGTGGATTCGGATTATCTGTGAACTGAAGAGGGAGGAATAGACTTTAATATCAGAATCCATGATTATAGAACAATTCCTCGGCCAGGGATTAGGGACCAAGAGGGTGTTCCTTAGCCCAGCTGGAGCCTGGAGCATCTGTCTGAAGTTCAACCTAGGGTCTGCCCGGCACACTTGAAGAAGAGTCAGGGCCAGCCCTCAGGTCCACCCCACCAGTGACCACCTGGCAGATTTGGAACCTGGAGTATGCCCTCTCTTGATGTCTGATGCTTACACAACCACATGTGGACCTAGGTGGGAGCCCAGCAACTGTGACCTGGAGTAACAGTTGAGGGCATGCAGTCTCAAGCAGACCATGCAATACTTGAAGATTTCTAGACTTCCTAAGGGCTTCTAGGGGATCCCTGAGTGGCACAAGTACTTATTTACTAAACAAAAGGTTGGCGGATCGAACCCACCCAGAGGCACCTTGGAAGACAGGTCTAGTGATCTGCTTCCAAAATGTCGCTCCTTTGAAATCCATTGAGTGCAGTTGTACTGAAGCACCTTGGCACTGGGAGTTGAAGCTGACTCAAAAGCAATGGATTTTTAAAGAATTATTATTGTTTTTTTCAATCAACAGACTTAGTTTTCTTAGTACAATTTTTTATTTGTACTAAGAGGAAATTGTTTGGATTTTTCTGTTATGAATTAACTTAATCCTAAAAACATAGGTGAAACCACACTGAATACTTTTCATCTTGTCTAGGTGGGTCAGGTTCAAGGAGATGGGGATAGGATTCATTGATTTAATAGTAATTGTTATCATACTTAATTGCAAACTATGAAGGTATAAACTGTGTAACAAAAAGGGGGGAGTATTTAATCTTACATTCCAGGAACAGAGGACCCTAGGGCCATCAAGGGAAAGGAGCATGAGCTGAACATAGGACCCTAACCAGAGAAGCAGCAACACCAGAGATGGGGCAGGCAATAAACAACTGGAAGGAGGTTGGCAGAGGAAAGATGGGGGTGGCGGGAGACACAGGAAGGAATGCAGTGGTTAAAGTGAATAGAGGTAAATGCTGTTAACTGTGGATGCATGGAGGGGATTGCAACCATGCAATGAAACACAGTTTATGATTTGTTGAATGTAAAACCAATGATCTGCTCTGTAAACCTTCACTCAATTCACAATAAAAAGTTAAAGATGAGGCTTTCTGCTCCCATAAAGATTTACAGCTTCGGAAACCCTGTACAGGGTCACTATGAGTTGGAACCGACTCCGTGGCACAAAACAACAATTCTACAGGGGAGGAAGCTGAGTCGCAAAGAAGCCAAGTGATCTGGCTGGCCAGTAAATAGCTGAACCAAGAGCTGAGTCTCTAGACCCACTGCAACTGCCTCAAGCTGCCACTATGCCTGCTCACACCCTACCCTAGATAGTGGGGAAGGGAGCGCCTCTGAGCAAGTCTTCTTTTGACCTTTTGGAAGATCTCCTATATAATCATCAGAGATTGGCTAACCTCAACGTTATTGCGTTCTACTAACCTGTCCCAAGAAATTGGGCCTGGAGGAGAACAGGGTAGGTGTGGGCAACAGATTGTTTCTCCTCAAGGAGTTCAAAGAATTCCAGAAACATAAACATAAAAATCACTCAACATTTTGAAAGCCCAAGAACAAACAGAATGGATTCTGCCCTTCTTCCCCACACCCACCTTAAACACCTTAAACAAAGTGGCATGTAGCCCTTTTGTAACCTGAAAAAGACAATAAAGAGTTTTTTGTTTTAGGGTAAGTTTTACTTAATTTTGTCTTTCAATGTTGGGCTGGGAAGCTTAAGGAACTTAAGGAGGCCAACTTAAGGAGGTCAAATTTAAGGAAGCTTAAGGAGGCAAACCATTCCAACTTCTGCCAACTGAAAGAACTAGAATACCAAGGGAGGCTTCCTCTATTTAGATTGTTGTTGTTGTTGTTGAGTGCCATCGAATTGGTTCTGACTCACAGCGACTCTGTATAGGGTTTCCGAGAAGCAGTTGGTGAGTTTGAACCACAGACCCTGGGATTCAAACTGACCTTGAGGTCAAGTGTTTATCCTAT